CCAGGGCCGCGTTCTGGCGTTGGGCCAGCGCCGGGTGCTCGGGGCCGCCGTGCGGCAGCGGCCCCCCAAAGGCCTCGGGCGCCGGCGGGGTGAACTCGCCCGGCAGGCCGGGGTAGGCCGTCGGGGAGAGGTGGCTCTCCATGGCGGGGCCGTGCATGCCGCTGCCCCAGGAGGCGCAGCGCTCGACGCCGGGGTTGCCGGGGAAGTCGAAGCGCGGCCTTTTGGCGACGCTCACGTAGGGGGCATCGAAGTGCTGCAGTCTTTGATTTGGTGGCTGTTGCGGAGGAGGGTGCTGCATATTAAACACGGGGTCGGTGTAGGGATGCATATTCCTGTTCTCCAGTCTGTGAATAGGGTATTCAAACTGTGCATGCTGGTTCTGCATTATGGGCCCATTGTCCTGCAGGTTGGGGTTGGGAGCGTTGGCTTCTGTTTGCTGTTGCCTAGGGATGGCTGGCGGGCAGGAGTTCTGTCTGGCCAGCAAGCCCGGCGGCTGCTGCGGCGGCTGCTGCTGCTGCTGCATCAGCGGGTGCCTGGCGCTGGCCCCCGGCTCCAGGCCGGCCGACATCTTCCGCGCCCCCCCGAAGCGCTCGAAGAAGACGCCGTGCTGCTGCGGCGGGTGCGCCTTGGCCACGGCCATGCCCGGTGCCCGGGGCAGGGCGGGCGCCCCGGCGAAGCCGCCCCCCGCCGGCACCTGCCGCCCGCCGCCGTAGTGCGGCAGCTGCCCCTCGGGCTCCGACGGGGAGAAGACGGGCAGCTCGAAGTGGCCGGCGGGGCCGTCGCCGGGGTAATTGTATTCCAGCGAGTCCACGCCGCCCTGCGCGGGGAGCCGCCGCTGCTCCAGGCCGTGGGGCTCGGAGGAGCCGGCCGCCGGCAGCCCGTGGAAGGAGGCGGCGCGGTTGGGGGACTGGTCGAGGGGCAGGCAGGGCGCCCCAACCTGTTCCAGTGTCAGAATGGTGACACACCCTCACAATAAAGAATATCCTCCTAATATCTAATCTAAATCTACCATCTTTCAGTTTAAAACCCCAAATACTAGCTGCTGTCAACCTCATCCACACAAGAAGCAAGAGACTTTTCCTGAAGGAGAGACAGTTAGACTTATATTCACAAGGATAAGAAGGAAAATTAAATTATCTGAAAGTCATGAGAGTTCCAGTTCCAGAGAAGTGTCATGGGAGAGGCAAAGCTATCACTTCCTTATCGTCTTTCCACTGTGATACTGAAGTCACTAAAGACACTGAAGTCTTAGCTTCAGTAAACCAGGAAGAAGCAGAAATGGTGGATGAAGTAATGATGCCAAATCAATTGTACCAAGCTTGCATTGAGTAAGGATGGAGGAATGAAGGGAAGGGAGGAAGGATAGATGCTGTAAACCCTCTATTCATCACCGTCATTCACTCCATTACTGGAAATATGCATTTATCTTGATTTGCACACTTCACAGTAAGACAGAAGATCCAACATCACACCAATTCACGCAGGTAATGGAGAATTTTTCACTCCTCAGTGGCATCCCTGAGACCCCAACTCTGTAATCGGACGAATGGGGGAAAACACACAGCCTCCTTTTAACTCGGTGTCTGCTCCAGCCATTGCCATCTGAATGTAAGATGAGATGAGAAGGCACACTGTGAATCAGCAAACTGTGTCCCTACGACAAAGGCCTTTCCTTGAGAGAGAGCCTACTCTTTCTATTAAGGAGTGTTATTGAGAACACTGAAAAGTCAGCACCAGAAAGAACAAAATACATATGTTGAAGAAAAAGACGGTTCAAATGACAGGATAAGGTCTCGATCTACGTATTTATTCATGGCAGGATCTCAGTCAACGCACTTCAATAAAATGAGTAATTATTGTGAGTCACGTCACTAATTACATCTGATACACAAAAAGGCTTGTGCAGCACCACATATCAAAGTGCACTGTGAACTCATCCAGTATGGAAATGGCTCACAGAGGAGCTCTTGTTACTGGTACTTGAACAGTCCTGAAAAAGATAGGGTTTTAGACATGTCTGTGACATTTCTCTCTCATTGCATTTTTTTTAAACATAAAAGAAGATGTGTTGTACAATAATGACAATATAACTGCCTATGTAGGGACTTCAGCATTTGCCTTGGACAGGCAACACAAGGAAGAATTGTGATGAGAGAGCAGTGGAATTAGCCAAAATAAGCTGCTTTCTTCTATGACAAGTAGACAGAGCTAAGATGTGTCAAATCTGTCAAAATGTTCTAAGATAAATCTTGATTTTTCCAGAAAAAAAAAAAAAAAAAAAAAAAAAAAAAAAGAAAGAGATCTATAAATAAGCGGCCGAGAAGTATTTGTATATGGCAGGAGAGTTTTAAAGGGATTTTTTTTTCTGCAGGATCAGGATGCTGCGCTGTGATTAAATATTGATTTTGTGTAATTAGTTTTCATGTGAACTATCCTCCTTGTTGATGGCTTGGAGATTTCAGAAGTAGAGAAGAAATGGAATTGGACATGGAAATTATTACTTAGCAAAGTGACAAGGGGAGAGGGTGGGGGGGTGGGAGGAGGGCGCAGGGCCCGGGGAGCGGGGCTGGCACCGGGGCACAAGGCGGAGTACGCGCGGCCCGACGGCGGCACAAAGAAACGGAGGGAAAGGCTCGATCGTTCGCTGCGGGAACGGCGGGAGGGAGGGAAGGAAAGAAGCAGAAAAAGAGGGAGGAAACCGCCGCTCCCTGCGCTCCTGTCCCGGCAGAACGGCAGCGCTCCGCACCGACGGCTGCCCGCCCGTAGGGACGGCCCCGGAGCTCAACCCCCCGCCGAGGCTGCGGGGCAGGACCGGCCCCGCTGTTCCCCCCGCACCGAGACTGCGGGGCAGGGACGGCCCCGCCGCTTCCCCCCCCTCCGAGGTTGCGGGGCAGGACCGGCCCCGCCGCTCCCCCTCCGCCGCGCTCCCTCTGCGCCTGCGTGCGCGCCGTCGGAGCCGGCTGTTCCGAACGGGCACAGCGCCCCCTGGCGCCCGCCGCGGCCGGGCCGCCCCGACGGTGAGCAAGCCGGGCCCGGTGGGGGGGGCTGAGGGCCGTGTCCAGCCCCCGCCGCGGAAGGACGGGACCGGGTGCCCGGTACCCGCCGGGGCTCCCCCCCGCCGTGACCCTCACCGGCCCGTCCGGACACCCCAGCGCCCCGCCGAGCTCCCTTGGCCGGGGGGGGCGGCTCTAGGGGGGGGACGCTGGCGGGAGGTCCCCGGGACAAGGCCACCGGGGTGTCCTCCTGCTCCCCGGGTGCGAACACCTTTACCTCGGGGCTGCCCGCACCAGGGCGGGACGGTGATTAACGCAATTAACATAATTAACACCACCCATCAGCTGGGTCCCGCTGACTCCCCAGCACTGCAGGCTCCCCTGTCCCAGCCCCCCCAGAACCGCCCTTTCCACGCTCTAAACAACTTCTGGTGACTTTCATTTCTGGGCAAAATGGCACCTGATTTAAAACTGGATTATCTAAAAAAAAAATAATAATAATAAAGAGGAAAAAAGCTGGATGAATTTGAAGAGTGCCAACCAAAAGAGTAAGTGCAACAGAACAAGAGCATTGTAAACCAAAACAACATTGGCATGATCTTTAAGTTCCCTTCCAACCAAGAAGATTCTGTGATTTTGATGCCCGTCCTGCCAGCGCAGGGTCACACGATGGCTGAGGCTCTGGCTGGTGACTGACCCGGGCAAGGAACGTGACCAGCCCTCGGTGGGACAGATGGGCCAGTGAGGGACCCACGTGGGGCAAGTGACACTGCCCCTGTCTCAGCCAGAACCCGTGTTTTGGCGCTGTGTCCACTCTAGGGTGGCCTAAAAAGATCCTTTCTGTGTAAGATACCACGTGCCAGGGGGACAATCTCTCTGTCAGGAGTATTATTGGAGGTAATTAGTTGCTGTTGCAATCAGGTGGGTGTCATTTGTCCCCTTTTTGGTCACAACTCCATGGTCTCGTCTCTCTGCACCAGGGATATGGTGAAGTTGTCCCACAAGTGGTGTGGGAGAAAGTAGCTCCCGTGAGGAGGAGACATTTCTGCTGAGAAGAATTACTTTTGATGATGTAAAAGGACCTCGGGCCTCCCTGAAATGGCAGCTCTTTTCCAAAGCAAGGAATTTCATGGGTACATCCTGCAACTTTGGCTTCCATGGAAGAGAACAAACACTGCAGAAAAGAGAGTTTCACTGATATAGATGATTTACCTTGCATTTCCTGGAATAGTCAGAATCCATTTGTTCCTCAGTCGGAGCAAGCACTGTCTCTCTGGAGGAGCAGAATGGTGCTGTGAAGGAGAATACAATCAGAGGGATGGAGACTTCCTTGGTCCATGGGCTGACCATCTCAAACACATTTGGGCGAGCGTTCATCCTCCTCTCTCCTTTCTGGTGGATCCACAGGTGTCCCTACCCGGGCCAGCAGGGAGATGTGCCACTGTATTCCCTGGAGGGGTTCAAGGCCAGGTTGGAGGGGGCTTGGAGCAACCTGGGCTGGTGGGAGGTGTCCCTGCCCAGGGCAGGGGGTGACACTGGATGGGCTTTAAGGTCCCCTCCAACCCCATCCTGTGATCCTATGATGCTCCAAACAGTGGCTAGCCCTAGCCCTTCTGGCTGGTCCTTCCCTGGACTGCTTCTCCAGAAGGTTTTCCTGCTCCTCCACTGCTGGCCTGGACAGAGCTACCTGCCAGGAGCAAGTTTTAGGACTGAAAGTTTCAGCGCGGTAACTGGCCAGCAGCGCTGCCCGGCTGCGGCTCGGGAGCAGTTTATAACTGGCCGATGACAAATATGGGAATAATATCAGCCTAAATATTTTGACAGCGAGACCAGTGAGCTGATGGAAGCGGGAAGGTGCTGTACCAGCTGCAGCGTCCCGCAGCCGCCTGGCGCAAACCGGCGCTGTTAAAGGTCAGGAGACACCTCGTCCCTGGTTTCTGACTCGGAATGTGCTCCGGGATGAACCCACCAACACCCCTGGCACCTCCCAGCTCTCGGTGCAGTGCTGGGGAGCAGCTGGAGATGGGGTGTCCCCGGGCCAGGACCGGCACCGTCGGGAGCACTTGGGTCACAAAGGGTCCCGGTGGCCCTGCCGGGTGGAAGGAAACCTCTCTCAAATTGTATCGAGCAGTGAAAAGTCTTTTACAAACCATATTTTTACTTTCAGTCTCTGGGTTTTGGTCATCTTGGGGGAAACCAGGGAAAGGCATTATTTAAATAGTCGTAGCTGCAGGGGATTATTTTCTAAATTAACAATAGTAATTGCTCCTGCCAAATCCAAAGTCGAGGGGATTCATTTGTTTCGACTCTCAGGACAATAGCACAATTTTGGGTTTCGGATTGCAAGCCCTGAAAACCAAATGGTGGGGTGGATGGGTTTGGTTTTGTGGTTTTTTTTTTAAATAATAATAATAATTCAAACAACATCAATTCATCAGACTTGAATTCAGCCCTTTCCCCTCTGCCAGTTCAACTTGCACTGAGAAAAGTTGCTGCTCAGCAAAAAAAAAAAATAAAAAAAAAAATTCCTTTTTAACAAAATGAATGCATCATACATAAAACATCACGAACCATACAATTAGTAAGCAAATGTAAGAGTTCAGCTCAGTTCATAATTATTCAGCAAACCTATTCAGAATGATTTTTTTTTTTCTTTTTTCCTGCCTGCAGCAATCAACTGTGTGGGCTCATTACCACTGAGAATCTAACGAAGAAACCACCACATAAACTGTACAAAACAAGCCCATATGCTAGAAAAACTCCAGCCCCACTAGCCCTTAGCGAGGAGCCTTTCAACCCTTCCACCCAGCAAAACCACATTGTCCTTTTCCGTGGCGTTTATACCTCCCAGCTCTACAAAGATGCCGTTTCATTAAGACGTCAGGCTTCAGGTAGATAAATTTTAGCTACTAAATAGCCTTTGGTAGCCTGGCCATCTGGAACA